GCCCTAAACCCCTAAACCCCTACTGCAAGCCCCTCACCCCTAAACCGCTAAACCCCTAGACCGCTTAAACCCTAAACCCCTAACCCCTAAACCCTGAAACCCCTAGACCCCTACATCCCTCAACCCCTAAACCCCGACTGTAAGCCCCGAACGCCTAAACCCTGAAACGCCCTAAAGCCCTAAACCCCTAAACCCCTACTGCAAGCCCCTCACCCCTAAACCGCCAAACCCCTAGACCGCTTAAACCCTAAACCCCTAACCCCTAAACCCTGAAACCCCTAGACCCCTACATCCCTCAACCCCTAAACCCCGACTGCAAGCCCCGAACCCCTAAACCCTGAAACGCCCTAAAGCCCTAAAGCCCTAAACCCCTAAACCCCTACTGCAAGCCCCTCACCCCTAAACCGCTAAACCCCTAGACCGCTGAAACCCTAAACCCCGAACCCCTAAACCCTGAAACCCCATAACGGCACTCCGAAGGAACCGAAATCTGAGCTCAAGGGCCTTCGGGAGCGCCTCAGGGCCACCACTGTCGTTGCGACGACCTCGGACATGTAATTTTATCACGTCACATGTGTATGATATCAGATGTATATCATATGTATATATATATATACCGCTATACCGAAGTAAGAAAGTATTATGCGACATTATAAATACGCTAATAAAACTATACTATATCATCACATTATGGTTTTTGTATTGAGCTTAAATATCTTATGCTATGTTACACCATGTTATGTTAGGCTGCTGTTCTGCTATATGCTACATATGTTATGATTATGTTATGTTGTGTCATGACATGACAACATTGTTGTGTTATGTGGTTTTACCTTGTGTTGCACTCTATTATTATTGAATTAAACTGTGATCTACCATATTATGCTGTGCTATCTCATACTATCTTATATGATACCATACTAGATTATACCCGAGTTGACATTATATTTCAATATGTTATATTGTAACAGATTAAATTAGAACATATTAGATTACTTTTATTTTGGTCTATATATATATATGTGTGTGTGTGTTTTGGTTGACCTAGGCTTTGGGCCAGCCGGCAGTCATCACCTAAGGTCCACGTCGCCACAGTGACAGGGCCATGTAATACAATATAACATAATTATATGACATGCTTTCATATAATCAATATAGTAGAATATAACGTTATATCATGCACATGATAGTAACGTGATGCATTAGTACATCGTATTACATAACAGTTCGATACATGAACTCATGTGTTATTGTATTGTATTCTTTATTACAATGTTATCTTACATTATACTGTAGCATTTTATGTGTTAATATGTTAGAACATATTACATTTGGTTATGTTAGATTTTGCTGTAATATACTAGGCTTTGGCTCCATCGCCTTGGTTTGCCCCGCTTCTCTGTAGCTCAGGTCTGCATCGTGCCATGTCCATGCTGCCAGCCCATCCACTGGCAAATATTGGCAAGTGCAAAAATGCCTAGACCATGATAACGTCCATGCTACCAACCCATCCATTGGCCGGTGCAGCCATGCCAAACCATGATTATGTCCATGCTACCAACCGATGCATTGGCCAGCGCATCCATGACAACGGTACCGCCATCTTGAGCAATGCTAACATGCGAAAGTATCGGGCTCTGCCATGCTTGTCCAACATTGTTCGAAGCCGGGGTGAAAGAACACATTGTGCAGAACCTGGCCTTAAGCCTCCATCCCGTCCTGCCGCTGCACTTCCCTGTCCAAATCAAGAACTTTGGCCGCGAGGAGACATCGAGGTTTTTTGCGGTTTTTGCTCCACACATCATCATAACGGGGACGCTATGTTCAACAATGCTAACGTGCGAAGGTACAGGCTCTGCCATGCTTTTCGCACTAGGCTTAGAACTGCATGAATGCAGCTGCTGGCGTGTCGGAAGGTGTAGTGTTAGCAGCAGTGGGCGCGGTTCTGAGATGGCAGTGGAAGCCAAGTACTAAGGGGCGGCAGTCCTCATTTTAGCTACAGAAGTTTAAGGACATCTTGCTATGTGCTTGCGGTTGCTGCTGTCGCTGCCGCTGTTGACATCGAGAAAGCTGCTGTAGCCAGCGGTGTCGGCGCAGTGACAGCCACTGAAAACATCCGGAAAAGTGTCCAGAGAGCTGCGTGCTGAAGAAGTTGATGTTCTGTTCCTGGCACGTGGGAGTAGACTCTGGGTGCTGGGTCTTGTCTGACCTTTGCTTGGCGTCGCCTGCAATCAACATGTACTTTGCCCTGGTCGTTCTGAATGCGGCACGTTGAGGAGGTATGCATCGCCTTTGCAATGCTTGGATGTTGAAGAGGGTAGCAGTTGGTGTGTCGGCCAAACCATGACAAGAGTCACCGGGGCTTACATTCTAGTTGCAGATGCGTTGTGCAAAATACGGATGGATGTGGGATTCCAGCGTCCGAGGACGCACTTCTTTCCGACCGCAATCCGAGGAAAGGAGCATCAGACAGAGCCCTCAGTGCTGGGCTTGCCAGAACAAGAAACCAGAGGCGCGGGCCCAGCGCGAAGACGTCTACAGCAGCACTCCGGCACGGCACCATGATGAAGGCAAAAGAGCAGATCACGACCTGAATCTGCAGGCTCCCAGAAACAGCTTGTCCTGGTGTGAAGCGCCGTAGCAAGTTGGCATGGCTTTGACCTTCTTTAAAAGATACGCTCAAACGTGATCCGCAATGAACATCAACAGAGGCTCGAGCGAAGCCGTATGAAATCCAGGATAGCATCAAAGGGAGGTACCTGCGACCAATGCCATGACACCGCTCGAAACAGCAAGCCGTGCTCCAAAAAGCACGAAATGCAAGCATGCCACACAGACCCGGCCCAACTTGCAAGCACTCGAGTCCCGCTGGAAGTTCGTGCGGGGCAACTGGGCTGAAGTCCAGCAGCACGTTGCCAGCCACTTTGTCCCCGAAACGGAGGTACGCCGCCTCAGACTTGCCAAAACTCAGGGAGGCAGAGTTCTTTCTGTTGCATATATCTTCGTGGACATCCCAAGTGACAAGGGCTTGGCAAAAAGTCCGTAGCTGTTGCTGCGGCAAGTCGGCTCTACTGCATAGTCTCTTCAGATGCACCGTGGAAGGTCTCAAGAAGACAGAACTCTTTACAAATTGATGTTGCAGCATATCTCGGTGGGCGGCGGTTCCCGTCACCGCCGAGAACACTAGGGCGATCAAGAAAGCGATCTGTGCAGGAGTTCTTAGATCTTGCGTGGTCGAGGTACTCAAAGACTTGATTTGTAAAAGGATGTTATGGGTGGCCAGCCGCTCAGTTCCTTTGGGTCGACTTTCGCAGCGGCTTCACTGGGTCGCCTGGGAAATGTCCTCTGCCGCCATGAGGGGTGCAACGACTTCTTCATCCTCCTGGCAGACTATCAAGGCAGCATCGGATTCCTTGCAGCGGGATAGGGTGACACCGTGACGCCAAACCCTGAACCGATGCACGTGTGCTCTTGTCCTGCTCGCCCTCCGGCCCAAGATGGCTCAGCACCTCGTCACTCTATAAGTAAAGTTCTGCCGCAAGGAACGGGGGCGGAGGGCCGGTGTGGAGACTGCAGCTTATGCCGACGTCTGAACACACACAGTGCACACAAGTGTAAGCTGGTGTCTATGCGCGTATGCACATGCACACATAATATAGCACAACCCAACATAATGAAACATAATTGAACAGAACAGAACAGCGCATGCCATGCCATAGCACGCCATATCATGCCACACCTTACCAGACAAGGCCATGCGAGAACATTACAGAACAGACCAGAACAGAGCAGAACAGAAAAGACATGGCATAGCACAGCATGGCATATCATATGAGCATAGCATAACAAAGCATGGGAGAGCATGGCATTGCATAGCATGGCCGTCCCGCGGCCTGGTTGGAGTGTAAGAAGTTTGGCTGAAGAGTTCTCCAGCAGTTTTGCACATCCCGGCAAGGCAGAGGTTGCTTTCAAGAGCCCACATCAACCGAAAAGATGCTACCGAGCTTAGCCCTTAGCGTCTTTGTCAAGCTGCAGTCGGCAGGCCTCGATTCCCCCAGCCTGCACCGAGAACTGCAAGGAGAAAAGCGCTGCACCTCCCGGGCAATCGAGCGCAAGCAGCGCCACCGTGACATGGCTCACCACAGCCAAAAGGACAAACAGGATCAAGGGGTGCTATGCCTGACAGGAGCCTCCGAAAGTCGCCCCGCAGGATATCGACATCGCCTGCAACAGCACAGCTTCGTACTTTTGACCTTTTACCTGCCAGTCTTTTGAGGCGGGCAATGATCGATGGTCAGCATCTTTTCCATGGCGACACCTTGTTTGGGCCGCTGCGACCCCCTGTTCGAGAAGTCGCTTTGGCGTTGAGTTTCGATTGCCTTATGGTGCCTTCGAAGACTCGGAAGTCTGCAAACTCGACACCTGGACGCCCAGGATCTTCCACCGGAGCATTCACCAAGTTCGGCGACAGCACGTCACCTGACATGCATCTTTGATGCCTTCCTTGCCACTTTGGTACAGCTTCAAGGCTGTAAGAGTTGTGAGTCGAAGGGCTTCCTCTCCAGAGAAAGCCCATGGCACAACGTATCTCGGGCACCCACCCACACAGACGCAAGTCAGGATCACCTCGGTGCGGGTTCCGAGAGGCTAGGCCGGCTAGGCTGCGGAAAGCTGGGATCTTCCGTCGACCTGAGGGCCAAGCGACCAAGCAACACACGCCTGCAGTGAGCCCAAGCGCAAGGAAAGATCTGCTCAGTTCGCGTGGCACATAATCTGGGTCAGCGGCCGAGCATGCACACTGCACTCACCAAGGCAACGTGTCGAAGCGACCTCCGGGCATGCACAACTTTCAAACCTCACAAGGCACTGAACCAACTCATCCATCGGCCCCTAATCGTTTGCGCACCGTCACTGTAGCACATGCTTGGGCCTGCTTGGGGCCCTTTTTGTGTAGCTCAAGGACTCTTGAGGGGAGGGTGTGTGCGAAACAGAGCGCATCCATGCGTCTTTTGTAACCGAATCCGAGCACGAACTTGGATTCGTTCCAGGCAGAAGGTCAAAAGGGATGGAGGCCTAGTCCTGCGGCTTTACTACATGAAATTTCTGTTGAAAGGGTTGCAACAGGCTCACCGGAAGACTGTGCCACCTTCCCCTGAAGCTCACAATAGACTGTGTACAGGCAGCGCGGCATCGGAGGCTACAGCTTTCAGTTGAGGGTTTGTGGATGCGAGTTGCTGGCAGCTTGGAAAGATTCCACTGGTCAATTGACTTCTTTACGCAGTGCGGGCTGTAGCGCTGAAGACGTGGCGTTGCACTTTTCGACAAGCGCTGGTAGTGTCCCAGCACTGAAAGGAACCGGCAGGCCCAAGTTTTGTACCCAAACCGGACACGCTTCAAAACGGATCCAGGCTGAATCTGCTCAGTCTTTGCCGAACTTCTTTTCGTGTTCGCGCCTCGCCTTCGCCTTGACCTGAGCTCGCCCCGATTCCCACAGGGATGCCTCCAAAGCCCGCTGACAAGAACTACTATCAACTGGACCGACCAAAATGGGTTTGCATTGCATACCATTCCTTGATGACCTAAATACTTATGGAAAAACGGATAGTGACTTGGCATCGGCGGACTTTGGTCCAGGAGACTCCCACTCGCTCTGCTTTAGACGAAGATGTCTTGTTCTTCGAGTTCGCCTGTCGAAGTCCTGCAGACGGCACTGGCAGGTTCGAGAGTCAGCTTGCGTGAACATGCAGGTTTTGACGATGAGGACTTGTGCCTCCCTTGAACTTCTTGGAGTCTTTGGTGGACATGGCGGTGATGTTGCGCGTGCCGCCTCCATCGTCCCAGTGGGCACTGCCCTTGGCCTTGTTTGTTCTTCAGCCAACTTAAAGTCGTAGAGAAGGCGATGAACGGCCGACAGGCGCCGAGATACGACCATCGCGAAGCCGCACTTTTCGCAGGGCCGGGCCGGCGAGTAGCTCTGCTCCATGGAGCATTTACCGCAGATCATGCCTTGCACGAGGACAGTGCGTGTTGATTTAAGGATATAACCCTTGATGCCTTTCGCCGGTCCGCTCATGGTACAGTATGTCCCTTCCTGCTTGCAGACTGGGGTTCGGCTGGCTTGTGCACCAAGACCAGCAGCGGGACAACCCGAGTCAGCATGGCATTGAGGACATGGGAAAGCGCGGCCGCAACAGGCGAACCGATACCACCTCAGCGACGAGAGGCACTACATTTCATCAGTACACCTCTGCAAGACGCACGCTGCTTAACTACTCGATGCCGACTTTCAACATCTTCCAACGCAAGGAAGTGTTAGGTCGGGCCGATATGCAATGAGCTTCATGTACCTGCTGCCATAACCACAAGTCCAATTCCTGGAAGTCCAAGCTGCTTGTAGGACTTCTTGAAATGCCTGCATGCCCCCATCTGCGGAAGTGGGCTGCCGAGTTTGATGAGCTGCTGCCGTGGGTCAGACTTGGCCTTCTTGCGGAGATACCTGTTTGCGCGCATCTTGCAGCATGATGGAAACTCTCTTTGCATTGCTGCCCAACTTTATTAACTCCTTATAGCGGTGTTGCGAAACAAGAAATCGAACGCTTTGCAACTGTGCATGCTCCATCGAGTCGCAACGTCTGGAACTGAAAGTAAGTGTGCAATGGATTCTACACAGATGTGACTCCATGTGCGCTCTGGAACTTCACTCGAGTGAGCGCCTCAACTCCTCTGCCAGCTCGTCCATCGGATCGTCCTCCCGGGATCGAGCAACCGCACGCTTCTGCACAAGCTTTTTGCAAGGCCTTAAGGCCGCTGTGTCGCTGAGCCCCTGTCCGTAGATTTCTTGGCACCAGTGCTTCTTCCACCAGGATCGCATGGTGTAATCTCATCAATACGAATGGACTCTGCACGGAAAGCATACCTCACACGGACAGAAACAGAGAGAGAGAGAGAGAGTGTGTGTGTGTGTGTCATTTTCAGAGATAAAGGACTGACGGAAAACACGGGCAGATGACGGAGTATACCAGATAAGAATGCCCTTGCTCCGGTGCATCAAATACGCCCCGTCCCAAGCTGGCTCACCTTTCGAACTGCAGACACATCCTCTCACTCCAAGATGCTTCGTGTGGCACTCGAAGCCTCAGGGCTGAATTCAGTCGAAAAGCAAGCAATCCCGAGCCAAGGCTCGAGTCCTAATTCATGGAAAGGAATGTTGCTGGATAAGGTTTGCCGATGACCTTCACTTCATGACAGATCATGAGCTCTGGTTTTGTGGATGAGACTCACCTGCTCTTTGCATGGCACTCGAGCATAGTAAAGCACACACCCTCAGCACACAGGCAATGCAGGCAGGATGCAGGTTCCATCAATGCCGCGATTTCGCACAAACTCGTTCTTGTGCACGTTTTCGGCATGGCACTTGTCCTTATGTTATTCCAAAGCAGACGTTGCGTTCAGACGACGCCAGAACAGACTCTGCGCAGGAGCCCGATCGAAGTGTCTCCGAGTGTCACAGGCGCTCATCAGGACTGATGGCAAAACATCTGTCACCCGGCAGCGAACGCAGTCGACATAGCAAAGCCTCAAGACAAGGAACTGGCTTGTAGACACACACACACAGAGACAGAGAGTCAATCCATCTCATCATACGGGCTCAAATCAAGCTCCCAAATCATCACACCGCAGGAGCGCCGAGACCGTCATGCCAAAGGCACCGTGAGCTTGCCGGGTGCAGGAGCGTGGGCCGAAGGCGGGCAGCAATGAGCCTCTGGGACATGCTGATCGAAACTCATAGCTCTCAAGTTTTGATCTCACGTCGCAAGCCGACAAGGAGCCCAGAGCAACCCTCACACCAAAGCTTGGCATCAGCTGCATCTTCGTCGGCACCGGAAAGATAGACCTGACACGAATCCGGCTTTGCCTTCTTAGCAACAATAGCTGGCAGTCGCTGCTGTAGCCCCTTTGCTGGAGCTGCACGCTCTGTGGCTTGTTGACAGTGTGTGCGAATACGGACGGCTGGTTTGACTGCATGGTTGGCTCACCCTGACTCACAGATCACCGTCCGCCGGTCATGCACATGACCTTGTGCTAATGCAGTCTCAACGCCCACCTTCGCTGTGGACCGACAGTCGGAACAAGCCAGCTGAAGATGAAGCAGCTCTAGCTGAACTGTTGCACAGCCTGGATCGAGAAGAAACAGGGGCGTTGCGGCGTTGCTGCTGCGACTATCTGGCCTTGCATCGTCTTGATGCCCTCCAAGCGAATCTCTGTGCCCTTGTGGTCTGGTTCCAGCTCGATAGGCATTCGCTCCCTGTGGACCTCCTGGTCCTCCTCTTCCTCCTCCTCCTCGTCCTGACCGGGCCCATTCAAGCAAATCACAGGACAAGCTCAGAGGTGTGGTCCTAGAGTTCTAACCTGCGATCTTCGATCCTCCTCAGTTGGAAGCCAATCCAAGCTGGCTGTCGCGCTGGCATCCTTCGCAAGGGTCTCAAAAGGCCCTGGTCTATCAGAGTGTTGGAATCCGATAGGCTCATTGCCAGGTCTCCTCCAGCCAGTCCAGATCATCCTCTAGGCCTCTCATGAGTCTATTTTAAACCCGACTGACAGGCTGGTCTGTGCATGGCGGCCGTGTGAGGGGCTTGCGAAGACGACACTGTACAACACCGACTCCAACGGAAGATCAACACACCCTGGGCCCTAGGCCATCCCGGCCTCTTGGGGCAGACTCCTTGAGGTCTTTGCCTCCTTTGGACTCCGTCTCAGAGATCTTCTGGGCTTCCAGACGCGCGAAGCACTCCTCGCAGGTCGGTTGGCCAGCATAAGCCGTTGCACAAGGCACGGGTCAACGCGAGCTCTCGGCGAGGCAGCGAGCCCGGCCTCACATGCCCTTGCACCGTGACGGCCCACCTCGGACGCAATCATCTCCCACCTGCAGGTCACGTCGCTCAAGCTCTCCTGGGTCGGAAGCCGCGAGATCTTCTTGCCTCTGCTTGCGCGAGTGGCTCCAAGACTCTGGATACTGGCGCACAGCCTAGCAGAGTCACACTTCACACGCCGTTGGAAGTGTGCCAAACAGGCTAAGTTCTTCTGCTCTTGCAATGACAAGTAACCGCCCGCACAGCCATCTAAACTCAGATCCCGGTGTTGCTTGCTGTTCTCGCTTTTTGCGGTTGCGTGCGGTTGGGAGCCGTCCCGCTGCACCTGCTTGAGAGCCTGGTACTCTGTCTGCGTCCAGCCGTGCTCGTCGCGTGAGCCTTCCTCGCAGCGATCGAAACAAAAAACAACAACTTAAGAAGTTAAGAAGCAGCGGCAACAGAAGTCCTGTTGCGCAGCCATTTCCTTCTTTGCCTTGCGCTCTGCGGCTTCTTGCTCCTCTTGCAGGCATCGCGTACGGGTTGACACATCGCCCTCCACCCAATCACCCAGGGCCTCGCGCTGCCGCCTCAGGCTGCGGGCAAGCTCCCTCGCAGCGTTCAAAGCGGTCGCCTCCTCCTCGACGAATGAAACAAACAAACCTTACACTTACGTAACTTACAATGCCTAAAGTTGGAAGCGAGCTCAGACATGCCAGAAGCCCCGAATCCAAAGCCTCTGCATTCTCCCCGCCCCGTTTCTTGTCCTCTTCACGGCGGAGTTGTCGCTCTCTCGCCTGTACAGCGATGACGAAGGCACCACGGCTAGAACCATCACAATCTGTATCGCCTCCCGCTGCAGTAGCTGCCGTCGTTCATGGCTCTGGGCCTCGCGCTCCTTCTCTTGGTGCTTCCTGGGAAACAGTGAAAAAACACCGGTGCCAAGGTGACAACTCGCGACCTCTCCAACGTGTCTTTGATGGCATCAGCAGCATCTTTCTGAGCTGCCACCTGTGGTCTATCGCGTCAGATGAGCTACAGTACTTGCTGACAACACTCACCGGAACCACAGCAGAGGAGGATCATTCTACACATTCCTCCCAGTAGGCTCAGTAAGCAGGGCGAAAGAGCTTGATTTGCTGCAGTGTGAACGTCTCGCTCTATCGCATCCGCTTTTCCCGCTCGTGGCCTTCTCCAGACGCGCCTGCCATGCTTCCACGGCGGTGAGCAACAAGATCCACAGCAACGTCAGGACCTCGGACCGGCCAGGAAGTGCTTGCCTTTTTAGCTCCTGGCACCCTGAGCTGCATGCGGAAAGCCATGCCATCCATTGCGACAGCGGGGCTTCAGAGCTCTCCTAAAAAAAGGCTCCGCACGGAAAAAGATGTTCCCTCTCCTTTCTGGACTCTACCGGGGCTCCACCTCGGCCCAGCGCCTCAAGCCCAAAACCACGGAGACAGCGTAGAGCACAGTGAGCGCCTGGCAAGGCGCCAGAACAGACCAAACTCAGCCGCAATAATCCCGGCAATAAATATGTTCATAACATCAAGCTTCATTATGACGATCAGTATGATGATGACTGTTGTTATTCTTGCTTTACACTACTAAGAACAATAACAACACCAATAGCAACAGCAAGAATAAATCATGCTGATACTAACACGAATACCAATACTCATACTAATTCTAATGGTAGTACTAATACTCTTGGAACTGCGAGCAGGCTGCGGCTCGAGCAACGTGGACTCGCGGGTCCTCAGACGCAGACAGAAGGGATGTGGCCACCATCCGGCCCAACTTAAACCCTAAACCCTAAACCCCTAAACCCCTAAACCCCTAAACCCCTAGACCCTAAACTCCAAACCCCAAACCCCTAAACCCTCGTAAACTCCAAACCCTAAACCCCCTAAACCCTAAACCCCTAAACCCCAAAGCCGAGGCTCGGTAGCCCTTTGCCTATCATCCTTTTGCTCGCGCTGCAGCTCCTCAAGATTTCAATCGACAAGGGCTTCATCCTGTAAGTCTAACCGCTGCCACGATCGAAGGCCCTTCCGAGCCTCCTTCTGCAGCTTTTTCAGGTCCTTCTCGGTTTTCCGCATCGCTCCCCTCTCTGTTTTTTCTCGCTTCTCCATCTTCTCCTTCCGGTGCGTGGCAGTTGGGGCAGGACCGCAGTCAGGGCTAGTCCTATGGGGAGACGCTTGAAAAGTCGCAGACACAGGCTCCTTCTTCTTCTCCCACTTCCTCGGGACGACCCGATTTAGATGCGAGTTCGCGTATGAGCCTTGTAACTACCATCAAATTGCAGAAAAGTCTCAACTGTTGCTTCCCCATGTCCATGGGTTTGTCCCGCGCCATGGCTTCGAAGAAAGAAACGTCGCAGCGGCACGTGTGCTTCCTTACCGTGGCCGTGTTGACCCAACACAGCTCTAGGATACTATAGGCCTATACTGTAGGCCTCAGTTCATGTACAGCAAACTTACAGAGTGCCTTTCATGCGCTTCGCCCCTGTGGTTGGCAAAGACTGGTATGCAAAACGAACATTGGCTCCTTTGCTTGTCAAAGGCTCCAATCTCAAACGTAAGGTTCTGCATGAGGCTCCTGGCTGGTCAGCGCCAGCTTTGAAAACGGCAAGTGCGCGAAGTGAAGCAGCGGAAGGGGAAAGCAAGATGCATTCACAACAACAAAGCGCCAATGCGCCCCACCCCAAAATCCTAGTCGATTCCGCGCGTGGCGGCTGAACCTAAATCCTAAACCCCTAAACGCCCTAAACTGTTTAGCCAAACCGAATAATTCAGAACTCTAAACCATCCAAACCCTAAACCCTAAAACCCTGAACCCTAAAGCCCCAAGCCCCGAAGATCCTAAACCCTAAAACCCTAAACCCTAAAACCCGAGACCCTAAACCCTAAACCCCTAAATCCCTCAAAACCCCGATGGGAGTAAGCCTCAAGGAGGCACCAGGCAAACAGACCAATACCGCCACAGCCACCTCCGAGCGAACTGTGGAGGCTTAAACCGACTGGGTGTAAGGTTTTGGGGGGTGCTTTTTGCTTTCTTTGGGAGGGCGGGGCGGGTGTTTGGGTTTGGGGCTTCGGGGTTGCATCGGCTAAAGTACGCCGAAGCCTCGCCTGCTCAAGCATCCCGGGGTTCACGGTGTTGCAGGAGAGGACTTGATGCATTCATAGGGTTTAGGGCCGTCTATTGGGGTGAGGAGGCATAAACGTGGGAACTGTCCTCGGCACTTGGCAGCGGACCAGCACGAAGCGTGGGGCCACTGCCAAGCTTGTGAGCTGGCGAAACAGATCCTTGCAAGGCAGGAAAAACATGCTTCACCAGAAGGGGCCTGCAGTCCGGACTCAGGAAACCAGGCCAGATGGCGCAGCTGCAATCTACGGCATCTGAGGACTTTGCAACCAGAACCACGAGGTACGCGGAGAGTATCCCGCCCGTGAAAAGGACGTAACCAATTAGCACCTGAGCTGAAATTGCTCAGCGTTCATAGACGATACCTCCACGAGCACGACACACCTGGGCTGCTCGCAGCGATCAAACCTTTCTGACCAAAGACGTGCCTGACACCGGTCCGGGAGTCCATGAGCTCTTTCAACCGTTCCCTACCAGCCTCCCCAGTTCTGGGTACGAGCACTTTTCGGAGCCAAGCACTGAATGACCTCAGCTTGCAACATCAGCTGCTGTGTCATGTGAAGATGACTCATATGAGCATGAGCCTTGCTCAGCAAGAACAGCCGTGCAACTTTTTGTGTCTCCTGAGAACACGACTCATCCAGAGAACCTCACATCCAGCGGTCATGGCTGAGAAGACTATGACGATGATCTTCATGCGAACAGCAAAGCTCCACATGCACGACAAGCCAAGGAATACTTCAAGGCTGCCATTGGTCCATGTCGGGTGACACCAACAACATCATCTAACATCACAAGCTCATTTAGAACCCTTATGCAACCGTTATGGGACCCGTGCAGCAATCCTTGCAGTGCCCTGATATACTATGCTTGTAGACTCTGAGGCAGAGAGTGCGCTTCTGGCTTTCCAAGCGCAAGTCCAGGCCCGCCTGCAGCAGTGTGTGGCGGTTTGCCACGGCCACGAGGCCTCACATAACTTATCAGGGCCCGGAGTCAGCACAACGGAGTAGCTTATCATCGACCATACTCTACTGTTCTAGGTATAACGCTGTACTAATGGTAATGATAGTGATGGTGACAGTGACAGTGATGGTGATACTGATACTGACAATGATTGTAGGCGAACGGCTGACATCCGTCAATACCCGAAGGAGGGTTTCAGTTCAAAGCCCCTGATCCGAGTCAGAGGCCCATGACGAAGAGTCCCGAAACCAGACCAGCATCGGCCATGGCACGCGGCATCGCCAACAAGCCTTCCACAAGCTGCTCAAACGTCAACAGGTGACGAACATATCAACGAAATACAAAACTTACAAAACTGAAGAACTTGCGCCTGCGCCCAGCAGATTATTGAGCAGATTGAGAATGGCCTCAAAGGTCCACTGCAAGCGCATAATCCGGCCAGAGCTGAATCCCAGTATCAAGACGTGAAGGAGAGTGTCTACCGCCTGGCCAATTCAGCTTCAGTGGCAGCCGCAACAACGGGTAGACAAGTGCCATGGCACTCGGAGGCCTCAATCAGGGCATGGGCCTGGACGCGACCAATGAACACACCTCGCATTCTCTCGGAGCTCCATTGTTCTTGACATCTGGCGTGAGCTTGTGCAGCTGCCTGCTGACCTTTTCAAGTCTCGTGAACAAACCTATCTGCTTTCATTTTTTGTCACTGGTTTCGCCTTTCCTGCGTCCCTGTCCCTCCTTGAGCTTGGGCTTGCCTGCGACGGACTCCCTTCTGTGCAAAGGTTGCAAAAGCAGATGACCGAGCGATGCAGAATAGTCGTTTTTTCGAATGTGTAGTCTCGGGACTGTTCGTCGGCTCAGGTAGATCGCGGATGCGACTCCCCCTGGTAAACCATCGGAAAATCGTCCGTGTTTTAGATTCAGTTTCCCATGATTCTTCTGGCGAAGATGTCACGAAAGCTGACAGACAAACACCCGCGGACACACGCGCCCACACACACACACACAAACAGAGAGACACACTCTCAACAAGCCGAGCTCGGCGCGCGAGTGAAGCGGTCAGGGAACTTTGCCCTGAGCCTGCACCTCACAGCAATCAGAGGGGAATTCCCGAGAAGGGTGTGCCAAGATGCTCGGCAGACACTGGCATCAAGTCACAGGACCCTGCCCGGGGCTGGCACAGCTCGTTGGCACAGCGCAGGCGGACGCATTGTCCGTTGGTGCTTCGGAGAGCTCGGACAAGGTCTCCAAATCTCTCCCTAGCCGGAAGATGCGAGCCGGGATCGTGTGAGCTCTTGGCGGTGGGTCTTGCCACTTGTTACCTATAGCCCGTGGCCCACTGGGATTTGGAAGCGGCGAGAGTTTTTGGAGTGTTCTCGCTGTCTCGAGACGGAGCTTTCGGACTCGCATCGGGAGACGGTCAAAGCCCACACATGTCGCTCGATACGTCCTCCCAGCTGCATTCGCATTTTCAATCCGAATGCATAGCACCTTGTGACACTCCCATCTGGAAGTTCTGCACGTGGCCTCCATGGTCGAGGTACTCGTCCTCGTAGCCGGATCTCTGGACCACTGCCTGTAAAATGGAGCAATATCATGTTGGGTACGGGGAAGCATAGCCCAAGCATTGCCGACAAAGCCGATGCATACCTCGTAATTTCTAAACAACAGAGGCGAAGAATCAATGTGTATGTTGCAAAGAAAACAACAGCACACAATCCTGATTACTGTGTCTCAGTTGCTGCATCAGGATGTGGCGCTGTCCACATCTGGCTTGCATCACAGAGACTGCAGCTGAGTACAGAGGTCACGCACGAGACCAAGGAACCGTACTTTGGTGTCGGGTGCTTCCACTTCATCCTTCAAACTCGATTAATGCAAATCTCTAAGGTTTCCGATTTTCTCCAAGAATGTCAGTGAATTCGTCGTGGCAGATCCTTCCGGAGCTGTTACAAGTAGTTAGTTACCCTAAATCCTGTTCGCTCAGCTCCCCTTTGATCCCGTGCTTCCTGTTTATACTTCCGTTCCATATGTTGTGCTAAATTTTGTGGCGTTGTGGCTCGCTCATCGCCACGCCCGCAGACAAGCAAGTGACGGCTGACTCTGCATACATCCTAAGGTCCTAAACCCTAAATCCTCGACCAAGATCTCTGAGCCCCGTTTTTCTTCGAGCTCGCCGGGATGGGTCTTCTGCTTCTTCTCGGGCGGCTCCCCTGAGCTCTTCGCAGCGAAGAAGCTCCTCTTCTGCGTCCATGAATGACCCTCATGATCCCCTCATAGGGTTTCGGGTTTAGGGATTCGTGAACCCTAGGCATGATCAATCATGATCACCTCATGCAAGTTTTTGACGAAGTGGGGTTCAATAACAGAGCAAGCACGAAAAGAAAAGTCGATGCATCCACGAACACCTTGATCATGAGGAAAACAGTGTTGGTTCATATTGCCTCCCTAAACCTTAAGCCCTAAAACCTATACTCCTTTTTGCGCGCCTGCTTCTGCCAAGTGTCCCAAGCGGCGGTCGCCGCTGAAGTGAAAAAGCCAGTCTGGCTGGAAAGAGCCTTGCAGCAGAACCCCAAGTAGGAAGGACCTAAACCGAAAGGGAAGGGTCAGGGGAAGAGATCCTAAACCGAACGGGCAGGGCCTAAACCGAAAGGGGCCTAAGGCAAAGGTCATCCGCAAGGGACGGGAAGGCGGGGCCCGAAAGCTGCGCTTAAGGGCAAAAGACATGCTGATTTGGAGTATATTTGCATACTCCTTTTTGCGCGCCTGCTTCTGCCAAGTGTCCCAAGCGGCGGTCGCCGCTGAAGTGAAAAAGCCAGTCTGGCTGGAAAGAGCCTTGCAGCAGAACCCCAAGTAGGAAGGACCTAAACCGAAAGGGAAGGGTCAGGGGAAGAGATCCTAAACCGAACGGGCAGGGCCTAAACCGAAAGGGGCCTAAGGCAAAGGTCATCCGTCTCCATCTTACTTGGACAGCGTCCACTTCACAAGTCAGCTGAGGCCACATGCAGCAACAAGAGAGGCCGCGCAAATCGGCGGAGCAGCGAAATGCGACGGCGCGACGAACTCGAAAGCTGCATGAGCAAAAGCTGAGCAGCAACTTCTTGAAGGTAGAACTCGATTGTTTTAACCTTGCTCCAGCGCCCACGCCAAGCGACCAGGGATATGTCCTCTGTTTCGAGATACAAAAACGTGGCCCCACTGCCACGCAACACTCCAGGAGTGGCGCCGCGCTCGGCTTGAGTGTAAGGAACACCCAAGCGCGCCATAATGGCGTTCCACTGCCGGCGATACACATGCATCGAACCACGAAACAGGCGAGCATCAAGTGGAAGGTCCTTGTAGAGGGCGATAAGGTATTGCAGGGTCAAGGGATCATCAAGTCGACTGTGCTGTCGTCTAGCGAACCGTTGAGTCTTTGGATTGCGCACATGAACATAAGCGACGCAGTCAGAGGACATGGCATCCGAAGGAAGCACCAGGTCCTGCCGTACGAGAGGCACAATTTCCGAAGGGTGAAGCATGCAGAGGAAGCCGATCAAGGTAACGGCAGCCCAATCTCTCCAGCCCCAAACCAGCGCGAGCGTAACCGCTGCCTGAATGATTGGCTGAGAGATAACAGGGCGGCACTGCCCGGGTTCAACTGCTTGCCACTTCTTGTCCACCTGCCAAGCCGGAGCGAGGCACGAGCGATACTCCGGAAAAGCATCCTGAACGGCCGTTATGGCGTAAACCAAGAGGTACCTGGGGTAACCCTGGGAAAACAAGTGCAAACCAAAAGCTCTTAAGCTAAGGGCGGCCGCACGCGAGGACGACATGGCCTGTTCAAAAGTAAACCTAAGATCACTTTCTAACCAAGCTACAAAAGCTCCCAGGGCCTTACACATCTTGTGCTTCGTGGAGGCTGCAAAGCCGGACTCAAGGTCGAGAGCGCCACGAGGCACAGGAGGCACCGAGGGCCCGGGGTTGGGCTCGATGTCGCCACCAAGAAGCAAGAGTAGCCGAAGCCAACGCCCAGCGAGCTTCGGGACCCCGGAGCTTGCAACAGCAATGTCAAAACGCTCGAAGCGCCCAGACATCAGGTCCTCCAGCCATAAAGGTCGCTCCTTCGAGGGCGGTGCAACAGCACGACCACGAGAAGGGCCGTCGCTTCGATTCTTGGCCGAATAAACATGCAAGCCGCCGGGGTACAGTCCGCCTCCAAGCAAGTACGGAACGATCCCTTGAAGGACGTGGCTCAAGGCGGGACTGCTCGACCGGCCTTTCGCGGAGGCCCCCAAAAGGACTCGAGAGTCGATAAGACCCAGGAGTCTGGAGTTCGGGTGACGCGTCGAGCACCACTTCAACCAGGTCTTGTAACAGCGCGTCTCAAGGATGTTTATGTGCCCACCCTTCCTAAACCTATACCTAAGGAGCTCCCGAAACTCTAGAGAGTCGCTGAGCTCCCCGATCCACTCAGGGTCGTCGTGAAAAGGACGAGGCTTGCAACTCACGTCAGCAACCGGGGGCAAGGGAACTAAACCGCCTAGGGTAAGGGTTTGCAGGGCGGAGTGCTTGGCAGACAAGGGAAGCACTGGAACTGAGCCGTCACGAGCCCACAAGCTGCCGGAAGCCATGCGCTGGACCAACCGAGTCGGAGCCCGAGCCGCAAAGCTTGAAACGGCTTCGCCAACAGAAGGACTCGCCCCAAAAACTCCAAAGCTTGAAGGGAGGCAACGGGCTTCAAAAGCCGCAAGACTCTGTGAAGAAAAAGTGCCTTCCACCCGAAAGTGGTCTTGAACTGCGCAGGTGCAGGGACCGCCAAGCTCGAGGAGCCAGCCCTTGTTGTGCAGAACCTGCCGCGGTCGCTTGAAGGGAGCACCGAAGGAGCAGCAACAGTAGCGAGTCAGCACGGCTCCGAGGCTGGCAAGCCGCACGAAGCACTGCAAGTAGAACATCACACTAGAGCCAGGCTGCTCGATCGAGTAGTAGCCTCCGTTCAACGCCACAAGGCACAGCAGAAAAGCAATCCTGCGAGCCAACCGGTTGTCGCGCCGCACGGAACTTACCTCAGCCTCACAGCCTGCAGGCAAAAGCTTGGACCTCAGGCGTGGGCGCTGCAAAGCCTGGAAGGAGCGCGCAGGCGGCGTGGCATGCCACTCACCAACGACCCGCCTCAAAGCGAGCGCGCGAAGCTCGTGAAAAACCGCCTCGGAGTGAAAGTCGCTGACAAGAACAACCCGAGGGGCGCCGCCGTCGCTAGCAAGCAGCCCGGGGAAAGTCCTGAGCCCAGCCGCCTTGTGAGCTGCAGTCCACTCACCTGTCTCCGAGAAGAGCTCCAGAGCGTCGTACAGCACGCCTTCGGCCAGAGGTCGCCCTACGGGGAAGCACTGAGGTGCAGCAGGGCCGTCAGAGTGTCCGAAAGCCGGAGCCGAATCAATGCCCAAACCCTCCAGGCAGTCAGCAGCGGGATTGGCCAACCGAGTGTAAAAACCACGCTGTTCTGAAAACCGCCAAAGTTCCTTGACAACCGACTCGGGAAGAGGAGCCTCAACCAAGCCCGCGCCGTCGGGGCTCGCGTCCATCGCGAAGAGTCTCTCAGTGTATGACACACGAAGATCGGTTTGCAGAGCAGGGCCAAGCACTGATAAAGCCAAAAGCTCATTCACCGTGTCTCGATGCAAGGGCATCACACGATCAACGGGCTCACGCCTCGAATCCAAAAACGATTGATTTAGCAGTGCAAGAACTGGTCGACGAAACATAAGCACGTGGACCCACAATCCCAAAATGGAGGCGAGAAGCGAGGACGAAGCTGCGCCTTTGCGCGCGACGAGAGCCGTCAGAACCATCAGCACGATAACACGGCAACGTGGCGCTCCCACAATGCCTGTTTCGCCGTCGGCTTCCGCTCCAAGGTAAACTCCTCGCAGCTCGTCACGCCTCCTTTTGCGGGGGTGTTGCACGAGCCCCACACTTTTGTAAGCGACCTCTGAAGCTGCAAAAATCGAAGTGTCACGATCAGGCTGCCCCAACCGCCAAGCGGTGCGACTCACAACTTGAGCAGTGAGATGATCATCTATCGATAAAAATTCCCATGTTGCAGAACGCGGCGCCGGGGACCTATAGGTAACTTGTTGTGAAGGGCGCATGCAATAAGCAACGAACCTAAGAACATTGAAGTGGCTTTGTTGTGCAAACTCGACCGCCATGCAGTCACCCATCGCTAAGGCCCTAAGCGAAACATAGTAATGGTCACTGCACGGAGCCCTTGCAAACGCTTGAAAATGTTCAACCTCATGAGCCTTGAACCGAATCCTGAGGCAGTTCCGCTTGGCTCTGCTTGAAGGAATCTCAAACGTATAGTACATCTCACTAAGGTCGTCCGCCCCGAATCTAATAACACTATCATCATTGGGGATGTGAGCAAGGGAAAGCAAAAATCCAGGTGCCAAAGATTTAGTGAAATTAGAGTACGGTCGAGAGCGGGAATTTGCAACGCTGGGATTAACTATGAACCTATCGAACTCCGAGTCTTTCGAGACACTAAAGCAACCACAAGCTTCGACATCATCAACCTCCGAACACGGGACAAGGGCGAGTGCCTGATGTTCGTCCCATTTGCCCGCGAGGCGTAGGATCTCGCCGCGACTGGCGTGAACCTGTGCAGCAGGAAGCTTGGGCCACTCCCGGGAGGGTAATCGAAGTGCATCGGGGTTCACATACACGGCCCTAACCACCAGATCGGTGAGAAAGGGCAATGGATTGAAACTCGGAGGTAGGGTCCACTTAATGCGGTCAGCAAAAATCTCCTTGCATGAAAGTCCAGCGGGCAGACAACAGGTGCCTAAGTCAGTGGGGAGCTTAGGGTCCACAGGAGAGGGTTGGGGTGCACGGCTCCTAGCAGGGGGCCTAGGCCTACGAGCATAGGAGTCCCAACCAGAATGCAAATCGGCAACCAGCTTGGCTAGGCGGGCATCTGCAATCACAGGGTCAGAAGAATCCAGCAACGGCAGCGCGGCACTCAGCTCAAGCAAGAGGTTGAATTTTTCACAAGAACGCCCAAGCGCCTGGCTCGACAAAGGCTCGGCGCTACAGAAGTAAGCGACGTGACGCTCAAGTGTGTCCAAGGTCTGCTGTTGGTGTGCACTCAAGGGGGTACTGCCAACACACGCGTGCTGGGGAGGTACAGTTGGGCAACCAAGAGAAAGCCAGTTAAGACAGCTGACCTGGCAACGCAAAACTGAGCGGATCGCGGCCAGCAATCGGTGCCGGCGGCGCCGTCGCGGATTGAGCTTGCCTTGCGAATGGGCCGTCCATCGGCACGGAGGCGGGACAGGCCAAACATCGCCAACGCCTCTAGCGGCAGGCTGTGCGGTGCAGGCGGAGGGTGCCAAGGAGAGTCGCATAAAAGATGCTAATCCCGACCTAGCAGACCCTGAAAGGTGAAGAAAACGATCGACCCAATGAAGGAAATCAACCGGCACATCTGATACACTGGTGGCTTCGGCAGCGGGGTGCGGGGGCACGGGCTTAGAACTACGTTTGCAGCTATCTCGGCTCTTCCCCAAAACTGGCACCCGCCTGGAAGACGAGCCGCGAGGACCAGAAGACACATTTACAACTGAATTCGAGCACGGCTCCGCGCGCCCTGAAATAGACACTCCGGAATTCGCATCAGAGGTCTCACATGCATGCAGCGATCGGCTCATGAAGTTTCTCCGCCCGGCCCCCGAGGCTTTCGAGGAGGCCGCCTCGGCGGTTTCTTTGGTGCAGCCTGGTCTTCCTCCACCGGTGGCGGGCGCGCAGGGGGGTCGCTTAACCCCGTGTCGTAAGTTGAAGTTCCCCCCGAAAGTCGAGACCCGAGGTAGTCCATCTCCTTGACGTAGGCCAAATTCGCCGACATCCAAGCGCTTGGGATCAACCGGCCGAACGGCCGGATACCTTGCCTCCGGCGATTCATGGCCGCGAAGTTGGGGTCGCTCAGACCCGTCAACAGCCAGGGCAGTTGGGTGCGACCGCCCTCGACGGAGCACTGATCGCAGAACACCAGAAGCTTGGACATCCAGCTCTCCAGGCTCACATTGCCCTCGTCCCGTGCCGCGCGCCACCCAGAAGCGGCGAATGACGCGACCAGCGCCAGGAGCTTCTGATCCCCCACAGGCATCTTGCGTTCCACGTAGTCCAGCATGAGGTTCGAGGGCACGTTGGTCGCATCCACTCCCATGGCCTCGGCCCCCATACGCCTCACGGCGGCAGCCGTGGCCCGGTTGTCCCCGAGCACTCGAACAAAGGCGTCCCGAGCAGCCGAACCCTTGGCCCCGAGGAAGCTCTCCTCCTTCGTCATGTTGCTGAGGGCAGCCGTCAAAGGATCCGTGGCCTTTGGCTGCGCAAGCTTCGCCAGCACCTGAGTCTGAGCCAGAATCAGCCGATGAAGGCTGGCCGGGACTTTCTCCGGCCCTTCGGCCACACCATCCTCGAGAACGCCCGCCTCGAGCTCGGCCAAATCTGCATCGTCCGCGATGGCCTCGGGCCGGGGCGCTCGCTCGTGTCCAGCGAGTCGGCCCGGGGCCGGACCAGCCACCGCTCGCAAGGTAGCCCAATCTTCCGCCGTGAGCGCTGTCCCATCCTCCGGTGCCTCGTCGCCAAAGAGACCTCGAGTGCGCCGGCCACCCAAAGGAGCCGAACTCATCCCTGCGCCGCCCCTTTGCAAAGGATCTGGAGGACGGGCCGAACCTGCCGATGTATTCGCCATCATCTGCTCCAACTCGCGAACCCGAGCGGCGAGACGCCCCGCGTCGACCGACGCCGCAAGGCCAGGAGGTCCCAAGCCGGTTGGCTCCGCAGCCTCTGCTTCCTCGTCGGCTGAAGGTGCCCGGCTCTCGGCCGTGACATACTCCCCCAAGGCCGGGTCGTCCACGATGCCACCAATCCAGGAATCGACCACGGCTTGCAGAGCACCCCTGACGGGCCTGACGGTTGTACCACCTTGACTCATAGGGATAAGCTCCGGCCCCGAACCCCGGCCGGCGACCACCTTCCGAAAGAAAGGCAGAAACCGCCAAGGCACATCGGCCAAGAAGATCTCCACTGGCCCGACCGGTCGGCGCCGGGGGGTCTCCCCAGCAACACTGCTCTCTGAAAAGAAGACGGTATCCTCTTCTCCTTCGCAAAGCTGCTGCAGAGCGTCGTGTACCCGATCGTCTCGCGGAAGAGCTGCAAGGAAGCCGCCCCGACGAACACGAATCACGAAGGTTGTTGCACGCCAGGTTGGCTCCTCCTCTAAATCGCAGAAATACACGAAACCCAAAGGCCTGGCAGCGTCTGCTGGCACCACCAAGCCGCGGATCTCCTCCTCGGTCACAAGACGGCCGGCCATTCTCGCTCCGCTCCTTGGCAGAACAAGAGGGCCTCAGTCTTCGAAGGAAAGCCGTTGCTCACCGACCCCGCTTCAGGACCGCTGCCGCGGCTGTTAAAGCAGTTGGCCTTGTAGATCTTGAAGCTTTCCGTGACGAACCCCTCGGGAAATTTGCTGCAGCGAAGACAAACGTAAAAACGGTTGCTCAGCGGCAAAGGCAGGGTCCGGGGCACAGCTGCGATATCCCCACTCAACTTCTTTGCCGCGTGTACGCCGGCCAGCAAAGCCCGAGCAGCGCGTCCACGAGCAGTCCAATCTGATGACGCACTCAGACCGCGGGCCTGCTCAGCGAAAGCACCAATGTCAACAGAGTTCAGCTCGGCAGCAGAAGTACAGGCGACGAGCCGATCCTCCAAAGGGACAGGCTCAGGAAGGACAGCCTCGCTGCCTTCAATGGGTCCGGTTTCGGTCCGGGCACCGGGCAACTCCACAACCTCGAAAGATCCCAGAGACGAGCTCGACGCTGCGTCCCGACTGATGTCTATGGTCAATCCGGCCAGCCTTAAAGTCACTCTCTCCAGCTCGTCCGGGCCCCCACTCATTCACGGTATTCCCGAAAACGGGAGACTACCCCTCCAAGCTCCACCTGAGGCCTCGCAGGAGCTTCCAGAGTAGAGGCCAGGAAGCGCAAGGTGCAGCCAGCCACTCGCCTGCAATGCCCTGACAGAAGCAGCCCGACGGCGAGAGCCCCACAGCAGAACCCTATGGCGCAAAAGAAGAGGCAAAGGAGAATGAGAAAGGACGGACCGACAGGAGAAGTCGACGGCTGCCAGACGCGAACCTCCCGGAGGATCTCAAGAACCCAGGGGCCCCACATAGAGCCCGAAAGCTGCGCTTAAGGGCAAAAGACATGCTGATTTGGAGTATATTTGCAAAACCTAAGGCAGCTCATAACGACAAGTCACGGCTTGGTGATGGCACATCATGATGCTCTACGAGACATGCAGCATGGAAGCTTCATATCGACCACGAAGAGGAGTCTTTTTGAACCGACCAACTCCGAAGATGCAATATCCAGCCTAGACCGATGCAAAATCTATAGGCCATTCATTGAACCTCAGACGCCACAGTTTATGTCGAAGGAGCCATGGGCAAGGCGAGGTGCCCGTGTTCCAGTTTACCACCATTTATGTTGTTAAGGCCGCGGTTACAAAGCTTACGGCGCCTAAAGCACATCCACATGCTTCCCAACCAAAACACAGGCAAGTCACACATCTTGGGGCCATGCACTTCTCGGATTCCTCCTCCAGCCCTACCCGAACAGCCAAGGTACAAGGCCAGCCCTTGCAAAAGGCCAACACCAGATCCTCTGCCCCCCTCCTCCTCCACCTACTCCTCCTCCTCCTGAGGCTCCACCACGACGTAATGCACCTGTCTTCGTCCCAACGACAACATCCTGAAATACACGCAGCAACAAAAACATACAGACAAGAGCAAGAGTGCACAAACACAACCCCGAGCGGGCTTGCAAAAAAAGCGAATAAGCTGTGAAACACTGCAACAACAAAAATAGATAAAAACAAGTTCGGTCAAGGACAGGCAGCCGACGACCCCTCAGTCTAAGACGTTTACAAGGAATAATGGAAACAGCATTCAAGGTCCTGAGGCTCCGCTGCTTCGCCAGCTTCCTGAGCCAGTTCCCGGGGCACTGGGCTGGGTGGTCTTACGTGGGCTCAGCCTTGTCCCAATCTGAACGATCTAGACATGGGGAGGCATCTTTCTTTCAGAGCTTTGGTCAGGTTTTATGTAAACGAAGCATGAAGCAGCTTGATCCAGCAAGCCCCTGTGCCATCAGCGGCCGGTCCCGGAGTGAAACCCTGAAAACCAGAAGAGTCCGGCAAGCCCTCGGCCAGATTGTGATCCGGCTACTACACAAGGCTACTATAACAAGGGTGCCATAATGAGGTTACGATAGTAAGGACATGATAGTCAAGCTACGATGATAGGCTGCTATACTAGGGCTACTTCTGGCCCATTGCTGCCGGGCAGCGGGCCCCGTGGCGGCGCTTCTCCTGCGAGGCGGCAGCAAAGCTCGTGGAGCCGCTTCGCCTGAGAGGTTCTGGAGGATGTACTACACGCTTGCGCCCCAAGGGGGGGGGGGGGG